TACTGAACAAACAATAGTACGTAAGGTAGCCGTAATGGAAGACCTGTGGCCGCTTATTTGGCACCGGTCGAAGGCATTTTTCACCTTCTGATTTTTCAATACTTATCATGCTTTATTATGTAGAGTCTGAAGTATTCGTTGAAATTCCAAAAAAGGAAAATGCATGTACGCTCTTGTCCTAATGTTTATGGACTCTCAACAAATCAACAATAGTAGTACGACCACTATCGACAATAGAAGAAGAGAAATCTAGTGAGACGACCGCATCCAAGTTTTGCGGTCGCTTTCTCTACCCCTGCAGTCAGGACCGACAAAGCGCGCCGAAAGTGCACTTGCTGCAAAAAGTGTGGAAAACGAGGATGAGCCTCTCGTTGGATGCGCATTTGAGTTAATCAAACTGAAAAACTCGAAAACGAGCTTGCAAATTTAAGAACGCTTATGCAGCAGATCAGTGACGACAATAAGGGGGTTAAAAACGGGTCAAAAAGGCAGGTAGTAAAAAGCAAGAAGAACAGGGACATTTCCTCTCAGGCCCACCTCGAAGCATAAGCAGCGACCAAGCTATTAGATAGACGGGCCCCAGTAACAGCATGACGACGGAAATAAAGCTTCTTAAAACTCCGACCGAGCACAACCACAATATCTGCGCTCCAACTTGAATGATTTTGACGTCACTGCCACTTTGCAGTAACTGTCTCTGAGGTTGCTGCCTGAACCGTAATATAAAATTAGTTTCTGCGCCTCCGGAATTATTTCTTGTCCGGAAATTTATCGAACATCGGAGCTTGCACAAAATTTGTTTTTTTACCAAATCTAACAGACTGCGGAGCCGATTCTCGAGCACATTACATCCTAAAAAAAACAGATCGATGACATCCGGGAAAATCAGATGTTGTTTAAGGTCCTGGATATTTACATAACGACTGAGTCGTTCCTACTTATACTTCATATCATTTATAATTTTTTATAGGGCGACTTCAGGACTCAGATGCATTTTTCGGCCATGTTTCTGTTAATATTTATCATATTCCAGCGCATTCAGTAGGATGTATCTGTTAAATTCCCGACAGCGAATTTATGCTTACTTGTTCACGACGTTCGTCGACTCAACGAATTTTCGGTGATATCAGGACTAGGACCGACATTATATTTTAAGGATGGCCTGCTAATGTGACTTCTCCATCCAGGATTAGCTCCTGTTTTCTTTATAGTTGTAA